CTTCTCCACCCTCCTCCTCTTCCTCCTCCTCCAGCCCCCCCGTCTTCTTCTCCACCCTCCTCCTCTTCCTCCTCCTCCTCCTCCTCCCCCCTCCCCCCCTCCAGCCTCGTCCAGGTGCTTCTCCCACTATCCTCCTCCTCCTCCTCCTCAACTCACTTGTCCTTCACGCAAGAAACTTCGTCCGGAAGCGAGCAATCTCCTTTGCAACAGATCAGCACCGTTTCTCACCTCAGCAGAATCAGCAAGCCACCAGAGGAGGAAGAATTGCGATGATGATGATGATTATGATGATTATGATGGATTTTCCTCTCAAATTTCTCAATCGTTGTGCTCTCCTTCCACCTTGTAGCCAGCTCGACTTCACAAGCCTGCGTGCATGTTGGCAGGGAGTATGAAGGCAGCAGGGGAGAGAACGAGGGGAGAGAGGACAGGGGATGGGTGGAAGAGGAGAGGAATCGGGAGACGGAGGGAGGAGCGAGGCTCGGACGAGGATGGGAACGAGAAGGCCAGGAGTGGAAGGAGGAGGGAGAGGAGGAGGTGGTAGTAAGACTGGGAAGGAAGACGAAGTTGATCCTGCTGACCTCCTGGCACTTCACGTGATGATTAGAATGGAGGAGGGGGTACGATCCACGCTGCTCGTGTGCCGCGGGGAGGAACGAGGGGACCTTCGACTGCGTCACTTCCTCGCGCCTCCTCCTCCTCCTCCTCCTCGCTCACCATTGCCAACTTGCAGCAAGAGTTGGAGGACGGCTGTTGGGGTCAGTCAGAGGAGAAGGTGGAGAGGAGGAGATGAGAGCGGAGGGGAGGGGAGGGGAGGGGAGAGGAGGGGAGGAGTGGGGAGAGGAGGGGAGAAGAGTGCACGGGGGAGGGGGGAACTATAACCATCATGATGAACATGCCGAGCTTGTCAATAATGATGCTGCACTTCTCCTGCTTGTTCTTGTATCCTGGAACAGGAGGAGGAGGAGGAGGAGGAGGAGGAGGAGGAATTGAGGACACAAGTTAGCAACATGAGCAGCAGGCAGCAAGAGGAGCCTGTACCTCCTTCAACGATGGGCCAGCACGACTCATGGAAGTCAAGAACTTGAAGTTTGTTCTGCCAGGAACCGATGAGAAACGTCGTGCAAGAGAAGTCGGGGGGGGGGGGGGCGGGGCGGGTAAGGCAGGACTCACGTTCGAGATCATGTAGCTGTGCAGAGTTACGTTGAATTTCGCCCTCTCGTCCTCATTGCTGACTGCCACAAGCAGCTTCTCCTGCGCCAAGGTCACCTGATCTGCGCTAGGAGAGGAAGTTGGTGGGGTGGGCAGGCAGCATTAGAAGATGGAGGAGGGATGGGGTGGTGGAGGAGAATGAGGAGGAGGAGGAGGAGGAGGAGGAGGAGGAGGAGGAGGAGGAGGAGGAAACATCGCGGAATATGGAGGGAGTGTTGTAGGGGGGGGGGTGGAGGATCTGGTAGTAGAGGATGTAGGGTTTACCACAGACTTTTCGATTGAACTTTGATGTCCAAGGACGATACACACAAGCAGGAAAATGTCAGAGCCTCATATCTTCTCGTCCTCTGTTCCATCCTCCTCCACCTCTCCTCCTCTCCTACCCTATCCTCTTCCTACCTTCTCTTTTCTTCTCTCTCCATCGTCACTCCCATCGCCGTCGCCGCCATCGCCGCCAACAAAACTACACGTACTCCCGCCATTTCAGCGACGCACGCTATCTGGCACGCCTGGTGTTGCACAAATAACTTAGAAATACAGTGAGCTCGCCTCGGACCCGGTGTCGGGCCCGGGGGCAGCAAGTGAAGACTAGAGGCGTCAGAGGTCACTGAAGTTGCAGCCTTGGGGCACAATTCGGATGGGGAGGAATGATGCGACTGTTAGGTTGACATGGGGGTGGGGTGGTCAATCGGGTGTGAAATGGGTACTCTTTTTGTATTTATTTCTTGTACCCCCCTTTATAACCCAAAATTTTGGGGGAAATTGGGGTACATATGCGTTAACATAGCGACCTCTGGGAAATATATGGGTGGGGGTGGTAGGATTTGATCCCCAGGGGTGGGTACTTGCTCCATTCCCCCACATTTTTCTATCAAGTGAGCCGGTTGTGCCCTTGGTAGGAGAAGTTCTTACTTGAGTAAATATTTTACTAGGGGGGTGGTATTAGACTTTTGATAGTAGAGTAAACATTTTACTGGGGTGGTGGTAATAGGAAAAAGAAAGGGTATGCAGGGCTCGACTACCCCCTTCAAATACCTGTAAACTCTACCACCCGTAGTGAGGATCCGGGGAGTCTTGAGGCAGGTATTTTTATCAGGAGGGGGTACAGAAACTTTGCGGTTTTTGCTCGGGGGAACAAATTTCAAGGTTCTTGCTGATGTTTTATTGCAAGCTAGGCCGAATATTTGAAAAAGTTCAAACAATTTCAGCAAAATCATTCGAAATTTGCATGAAAAGTCCCCCTCCCATCAAAACTTACACGCAGCGCCCGTACTAGAGGAAGTGCGACACAATGATCGTAGAGCAGATGGGAGTTGAGAGGGAAGTGGAGGAGACTGGACAGGTCAGCGACCTTCAAGACGGCATGCAGATGGTATGCGAAATGTCCGAGACCAAGGATCCCCTGCTGCATACCTCCACGGCATGCACGGATGCTTGCGGATCCGAGAAAGTCGTAGGGATCCTAAGTGAAGGTTCGTGCCAGGAGGAGGAGCTCGAGAGGGACGAGGCGAAGAGCGAAGAATCTACGAGTGAGGAGACAAGAAGTGAGGAGACTAAGAGCGATGAAGAAGCTGCTCCCGCTGATCAAGACGATTCCGTAAGCGGGGAATCAGCCTCCGAGGACAAAGACATGCCCGTCGACGACATGCGCGACGATGCTATGATCGAGAACGTCCAGAAAGCCCAGCAGGAGCAAGACGCTGATGAGATCGAGCTGGACGGAGGCTCAAGTCACGAGTTCTTCAGCAGGAAAGGAGCAGAGCCCTTCCTGTACAAGAGGCAGGTCAGCGAGAACTATGCCACCTGCTGTACGTCGACGAAGCTGGAGCCCGGAACACTGATCGGGACCTTCTTCGGGAAGCTGCAGAGGAGGCCTGACTGCATGGCGCTCACCGTTGGGATCGGAGCAGCCGTCAAGAACGGCGGAGTGCTAGAAAAGATGAACCACTCGTGCAACCCCAACGTTGAGATCAGGTTCCCTGGGGAGGTGTTCAAGCCATCCCTGGAGCAGCTGGAAGAGATCAACGCGCTGGTGTCTGCTTCCATGCTGAAGGAGGATGGCGTCGAGACTGTCAAGGCCCTCAAGATCTTCCCGGAGATCTACACGGTCCGCACTATTGAGAGGGACGAGGAGATCTGCTTTGACTACGCGACGACGGAGTGGGAGATGCTGGCTCCGCACGACGCTCCCTTCTTCTGCCTGTGCAACAGCAAGAACTGCCGCAAGAACTGCATCGACGGGTTCCGCAACCTCTCACAGGAGGGCAAGGCAGAGCTGCTGTCTCGTGGGCTTGTCAGCCAGCACATCAAGGAGCTCAACCTCACCAACCCGGACATGTGGTGAGGAACACAGCCTAGGCTGCGGCACTGGAGGAAGTGCAAGGGGGAGGCGACCGTACATGCATCAAGCTTCTGATCTCCATCATCGCGATGGAAGGAAGTTCTTGCTGCTTGTTGATGGTGGGCCCCTGGGGCCCGGCCCTGGCTGTGCCGCGTACCGGCGGCGTGAAAGTTGGCCGCTGTGAAATGGAGATCCGCCCGGCCAGTGACGTCATAAGTTGAGCTTTCAGTGATGGCGAGAATGATCATCGGAGCCGGCATCCCGTCCTATCAAACTTCAAGCCTCACTGACCGTAGTGCGGCTGTAATTTTTAACCGGGAAAGATCGTAAGAGCTTTGTTGGGCCGGGCGGCAGTTACTAGCTAAGCTGCGATTGAGCCTAGTAAATCGATAAGTGATAATCGCCCACTGCCATGCTCTCAGGCTTTACACTCACGGTCACAGTAGTAAAGCGGCGCCGAAAGGCCGCGGCCGGGCCCTCGGCCGGGCCGGGGAACTTGACCGCCGTTGACTCGCGGCACCGGCCAGTGACGGTGACCCTGGGCCGGCGTCCGATCCGATCGTCCTCACTGACTCAAGCCTGAGTCCTTGCCACGGTCACTGTGCACTGGCCATGTCAGGCCCCCGACCAGCCCGCCTGAGTCCGATCAGTGACCGTACCGTGCCGGTGGGGCCGGGCCGCGACAGGGCCCGGCCCGGCGCCGCGGGGCCCGGGGCCCAGGCCAGGCACTAACTGAACGCCAATGGTTCCTGGAATTATGTGAAACGGCCGTAACGAACTTTGCATCGACCGCGAGCGGCTGGTGATGGAAGGATCGACGGCGATGGCGCGAATGACTGAGCAGACAACGATGAGGAGGTGAGAGGGGAGACAGAAGAGCAGCAGCAGAGCAGCAGCAGAGCAGAGAAAAGAAGAGAAGAAGAGCAAAGGAGAGCAGGAGATCAGGAAAGCGGGATAATGAAACAGCGGGGTAAAGTGGTGGTGGTGGTGGTGAGAGGGGACGAGGACGAGGAGGACACGAGGATGAAGACAAGGACATGATACAGGAGAGCATCAGGGGCAGTAGCAGGAGGGCGCAGTGAAGCAGATGGGAGAGGAGGAGGCGCTGACGACGGTGCGTGCAGGTTCTTCGGTCTAGGAGTCATTGCTCTCGCAATCCTCTACTGGTTCTTCAGATGCCTGCGGCGTTCAACCACCCGGCAGGTTCGAAGCAGTCCAGAGGAAAATGTCCCGACCACGACGGTCACTCTGAAACCAGGATTCTGCAGTGAGATGCTCCTCCTCCTCCACCACCACCACCACCACCTCCTCCTCCTCCACCACCACCACCTCCTCCTCCTCCTCCACCACCTCCTCCTCCTCCACCACCACCTCCACCACCACCACCACCTCCTCCTCCACCACCACCACCTCCTCCTCC